TCGTACCCATTCTACGACCCGCTATAGGAAGCGGTTTCTCTGCGGGGAACAAGAAAAGGGGTCGAAAGACCAAGAAACCGTTAGCCACCGAAGGGGTACATAGTACCAGGTGCACTGCTCTCGATCCAGTCTGGGCCCGAGTGAAGTATATCCACTCGTGGCCCCCAAGTCCCTCCATACAAGACCAAGTCTTTAAGTCTTCTGCGTCTAACGAGGAGCAAGACCAGCCAAGCCGACGGGTACACAAGGTGAGACCCAAGGTTGACGCGACACGGTATCGGGGTACCCCCTCCGTAAGTCGGCAGTCCGGCGCTGTGTGTGTTTGTGGTTCTCTCACGTTGTTTGAGAATCCACTCCACCACATTGGTCCTTGGACCCTTTTGTGTTCTTCCCCGTAGGGAAACCGCTTCCTGTAGCGGGTCGTAGAGTCTTGACACTTACTTGACACCTCAGGCCAACTATCCTGAGGTTCAACTTGCGTTGCTTGAGCCGTCACCTCACCTGACGTCGGTGGGCCAAAGGGTATCCCGCCCGGAATAGGTGAGGTGGCGGAGAAGAGCTTGGAGAGGGGCGCTTAGAGCTTCCACGTGTAATGCAAATTCGAGTGTGTTTATTTATCTTATACTTTGTATGCTTTTCTTGCCTAACCCTAACCCTTCGCTCTGGATAGTGCCACGTGTCGACTCTTGGAGGAAGAACTGGCTCCTTGGTACCTGTACTTTCTGTAATCTTCGAGGTTCCGTGTACCGTTTCTGCACCCTCGGGCGTTGGGCCCTAGTACCCTGGGCACCTGTACCCCGGTACCCTGGAACCTGTACCTTGTACACTGAACCCTGGGTCCAGGACCTTGTACCCTGTACCCTGGTACCCTGGGCTCTTGTACCCTATGCCCTTGGACCTTGGGGCCTGTACCGGCTCTGCACGTAGAAATACATTGTACCTTCTTTGACCTTAGGACCCTGGACCACCTCGGGGCACTGGCCCTTTCGGGTCCTGGTGTGCGCCCGGTAGGGTAACCTTGTACCTTTGATGACATCAGGACCCTGGACGTTCGATACCCCTGTCCCTGTTGCCCTGTCCCTGGTTACTGGAAACCCTGTCCCCGGTAATTGGGAACCCTGTCCCTGGTGACTAGTACCCCGGTCCCTGGTAACTGGTATCCCTGTCCCCGGTAACTGAAAACCCTGTCCCTGGTGACTAGGAACCCTTTCCCTGGTGACCCTCGGTTGAACCTTGGGACCTTGCGAGGCCTGGACCCTTGTACCCTGGGGCCCCTGTACCCTGGTTACCTGGTCCCCGATTCCCTTGGCACTTCACCACATAATGACCTCTCCTTTGTTTGTCTTTCACATTCTCATCCAATGGTCGCTTCACTCCGAGGTTCCCTCTCTCTCCGGTCCCTTCTTTCTGGTGTGTAGTCCCTTATCCCTGGTCCGCGGCCCCTTGTCTCTTCAATCCAACTGAACCCTGGGCTCTTCACAATTTAAGAAAGCACATCACCACATCTTACTGATGGACTCAGGCGTGAATTGGCTGTTTGTCTTTGATGCGTTTCTACGCTGTCCGAAAACGAACGCCTCAAATTGCTCCGACTGAGCAACATGTTGCTCAGGAGGACAATTTTAGAGATTGTCCAGGGCTTGTTCACCAAGTCCCTGTACCAAATGCTCTGCCACCTCCCTATGATGTTGGGAGAGGTGATGAAAATCACCCCAAAACACGTTGAGGTACATACGTATCCACACGCACGCTCAGAGAGGCGGGGCTTGGGAAGGACTACTAATGCTACCAAGTGTAGACGGGCACTTCGTTTTTTCTATTATTAGGGCCAATACAGCCTTTTAGTCGTGACTAGTGGCCAAAAAATCCCTCCTACCAGTGCTCTTATGTCGCTAGTAGGTGTGCCGGCTGCCCTATGGGCGCCGGCAAATGCCCGCCTTCAGGCGGGCCCTCGTTGTTGTGCTGCCTGCCTACGCTGCACCTATCCAGTTCGTGACCGACCCAGTGGTCCGCATTACCCTGTAGGTGAGCTACCAACTTCCGACCATGGTACGCCTGCTACCTTGAAATCATTCTGGAAGAGTTGTATACTCTTGCCCGCGTTTATAGCTTGCTGCGCGAGTCTGTCGGCCATGAAATTGTATTGCCGTATGTGGTGGGTCCACGATATTGTGGTGGAGTGGATTCTCAAACAACGTAGGAGATCCACAAACACACACAGCGCCGGACTGCCGACTTACGGAGGGGGTACCCCGATACCGTGTCGTGTTGGCCTTGGGTATCACCTTGTGTACCCGTCGGCTTGGCTGGTCTTGCTCCTCGGTTGACGTAGAAGACTTAAACTTGGTCTTTGTATAAGACTTGGACTTGGTGGTCCCCGAGTGGATATACTTCACTTGGGACCGGATTTCTTGGCTCAATTGACTTAGTCGAGAGCGATGCACCTGGTACTATGTACCCCTTTGGTGGCTGACTGTTCTTGGTCCTTGGACCCCTTTGTGTTCTTCCCCGTAGGGAAACCGCTTCCTGTAGCGGGTCGTAGAGTCTTGACACCTCAGGCCAACTATCCTGAGGTTCAACTTGCGTTCTTGAGCCTTCACCTCACCTGACGTCGGTGGGCCAAAGGGTATCCCGCCCGGAATAGGTGAGGTGGCGGAGAAGCTTAGGAGGGGCGCTTAAAGCTGCAACGTGTAATGCAAATTCGAGTGTGTTTATTTATCTTATACTTTGTATGCTTTTTCTTGCCTAACCCTAACCCTTTGATCTGGAAAGTGCCACGTGCCGACTCTTGGAGGAAGGACTGGCTCCTTGGTACCCTGTACTTTCTGTAATCTTCGATATTCTGTGTACCGGTTCTGCACCCTCGGACATTGGGCCCCGGTACCCCTGGGCCTCGGTACCCTGGGCCCCGGCACCCTGGTACCCCTAGGCCCCGGTACCCTGGTACCCCTGGGCCCCGGCACCCTGGTACCCCTAGGCCCTGGTACCCTTAGTCCCCTGGGCCCCGGCACCCTGGTACCCCTAGGCCCCGGTACCCTGGCACCCTGTACCCTAGGCCCCTACCCTGCACCCCTAGGCCCCTGGGCCCCGGTACCCTGGTATCCTTAGGCCCCTGGGCCCCGGCACCCTGGTACCCCTAGGCCCCGGTACCCTGGTACCCTTAGGCCCCTGGGCCCCGGCACCCTGGTACCCCTAGGCCCCGGTACCCTGGCACCCCTGGGCCCTAGTATCCTGGTACCCCTGGGCCCCTGTTACCTGGGACCCACCTGTTACCTGGGGTCCACCTAAGCTGCCCTAGCAGCACTAGTCCTTTGGTCTGTAGTGTAGGACATCCTAGTACCTTCTCCGAACTCGAGACCTTGGACCAGTTCGGGACCCTGGTCACTCCCTGTCAGTCATTCAAGAGAGTGACCGAGATCTTTCACGCCAGATATTATAATAACTTCGAAGGCCCCCCCCATTTCTCTGGCACTTCTCCACAATATGACCCCTGTTCGATCAGCATGCATTTGGCATTGCATGTACATCCCCTGTATATGTCGCTTTTTCGGCACTCTTTTGTGCCTGAGTTGGGTGAGAATGAGTATACTGTCGCCGGCTACATGAATATGTCGTATATGATTACGCTGTATATAGCTTAATCCATTCAGGAGTCCGTGATACTCCGCTACATTGTGAGTCACCGAGTTGCAATATGACAAACTCGCTAGACGGGCACTTCGTAAAGCTGCCACGTACTACGCGGGCACACCTTTAAGCAGCGCGAGGAAGCGGTTATACTGTCTTACCTCCGCTTGACGTGGTGATTGCGTTGGTCGGCCGCTTAATGCGCCGAACCAAACTGTTGCCGGCCGCTTAGAGCGATCCTCGCAACGAACAACTAACAATTGCCTCACTTACGTCACGCAGAAGCTCATTCAGCTTTTCGTGCGCAGTTTAGCAAATTTAAGACTGACTTATATTTGATAGATCTTAACTAAATATAGATCTAACTACTTATTGGTCAAATATAAAAAGATCGGATACGCGTCTCTTTAGAAGCGTACCCTTACGTGCTAGCTTAAAATATATTCAAGCTCGCTGACGACGTCCATCTGAAGCGTCACCATGACGACCAGTCCCAACTGGCGTCATTCCGTTGAATGTAAATCCATCAATGGATATTACATTGGGTCACATTGATGTGCCACACCCAAGTGGCAGGCCTAAGGTACCTCGTACCCTTTTAGGCCTGCCCGTTAAGTAACCGTGTAACTTTTAGCCCGTTATATATTTAATCCGTCATAAGTTTGTCTTAACTATGTTACAATACAACTATACATATCGACTACTTGCCCTCCACTCATTGTGCGCGCCTATCGCGTTGGCTGATTTCATAGCCTATATTATTCATAAGAAGGGCATCTACAACTTCAAGGAGATGCGACGACAATATTATCTTGAAAGGTAACGATGTTGGATATATTAGCACTTGATGTTTGTGCCAATGTTATGTAACGGATTCACCCCGTTACAGTTTAGGCTGGTTGTTCTCTGACAAAGCCCTACTATTGATTACCTCACGACAATCTCTTCTTGTGGAATGGTGCGACTTTTGTTGTTTTCAGTCATCCATCTCAATGCCAAGATCCGCAATCGGCAAATTTTCGTCTTCGTCGTAGTTTCGTACAATGACGCTTGAAAAATGTGGTAAAGACTCTTCCGCATCAGACGATCAAGTTGCAATTTGGCATTGACAGTCAAGCGGCGTACGTGATGGCTTACCCACGTACAGTCGTCAAACTCGGCACATAGATTAAGGTGACATAATGTGTGCCAACTATTTAGCAGAAAAGCGTCTACAAGCTTTGTGTACGAGGTGTTTCATGTAACTGCTGAAGTTGGCGATACTGATGAAATAGCGATGCTGATTAATGAAGAGTGCCTATTGGAATGTCGATCCAAGGACACAACTCTCAACGTTTCATGTAGTGCACACTAAAAAGAGAATACATTGCATAATGACGAAGACCATTATTGAACCACTGTCGATTCTTCGCGTAGTGCTGCATGTAGCTACGGCGTTGCTACTGAGCCTTCGAAGTTCCCAACTGGACTCTGCATTGCATCCATTTCAGCGGGCGATTGCCAACAACTGGGTGCGGCTGCTCTTCTACGTGGACGCGAGCAAGACGATCGGGAAAGACGAGGAAATTGTGACGCTGCCGCATTTTCTGCTTGAAGCAGAGGAAGAAATCGCAGCCAATGTGGACGATCAGTTTTTTAGCGGTGGTTTCGCGGCACGGACGTCAGCGCTGCCAGTGGGCGCGTTGTTCACGATCGAGGAGACGCGTCAGCATTTGCACGGGGCGGTACTCAACTATTTTCGACTGGCGGACGTGGCACTGGACTCGTATCTCGTCTATTGCAACGAGAGCTCTGAGAATTTGCTGTTGATTCCGCCTCCAATGCTTACAGTGCGGGCGGACATAAGGGACGAGACATTGGATCAAGTATACAACATCACAAACGCTTCAGCCAGCGAGCAGTGGCCGGCCCCGCTGCGGATGGGCACAAACTCTGCACGCCATCAGGAGACACGCGCATTTTTCGATGCATTAGACGCCATGGAGCTCAAGGTGGTGGTGGGCATGAAAAGAAAAGAGAAAAAGGTGACAAAGGACGCAGGAGTGGACAAGCTTTACGAGTGGACAGTCGTGATGCGCTACGACCTGCTGAACCAAGGCCACCTGGAGGTCACTTTAAATTATAATCTTGTACAGGTGCCGCTACTGGAGGGTAAAAGGAGGAAGGAAGGAGAGAAGGACATGCCGCCGGTGCTGCTGGATACCAGCGTCACGCTCAATTGGGTTACGCTGGTGGTGATTGGACTCTACCAGGTGAGCAATGGCAGTTGTATCCAGTGTGTTTCGACGCTTTGACTAACGAGTTATTGTGGGCGTTGTGTATTTTGCAGGCAGTCGAGTGCTCAGTAAAGTGGACAGCCGTCAAGGCTGAAGTAGCTAAGCACTCCGAATCATCTCGCCATTTTTGCAGAAACCCGATCACGCTCGCCCTGAGCAAAGGGGCAAAAGACTTCTGGTTCTGGTTTGTCTTGGCTGTCAATTTCGCGACTGCAGTGTGTTTCTTGGCTACATGGCGCCACGCCTATCAACTCTCTTTGCGCGATACGCTGTGCTTCACGTTTGCCTGCTGTTGTGCATTGCAGTGGAGCAGCTTTGTGCGATATCTACAGGTGAACACTAGATTCCAAACCCTTGGACTCACACTGCGGCGTGGCTTGCCGCGAGTGATGCAGTTTCTTATCGGCGTTCTGCCCATATTTATTGGCTTTGTGCTGTTTGGAACGGTCATGTTCGGTGCTAAGGTGCCTCGCTTCCAGAGTGCAAGTGTCACAGCTACCACGTTGTTTTCCGTAGCCAATGGAGACGAAGTTCATGACACTTTTATCGACGTCGCATACACTCCTTGGATCGGGCAAATCTATGTGTATAGCTACATGATCCTGTTTAGTTACGTTGTTTTGATGGTGTGCATCGGCATCATCGAGGACGCTTTCTTCTCTGCTGTGTTTGCGAAAGACTCGGAAGGACGTCATATGTCAGGACCTAAAAGGACACCATTAGAAGCTCACAAGTATACATGAAAAGGTGGTGTGTCGTGAGGTCTTGCACGGAATGATTCTATTGTACCTGGAGAAAATGAGCAAGCATTACACTGCTGTGTGGGATCGAGAACAAAGCCTTTTTCGGCTAAAAAACGATACGTGATTGAAGCAAAAGCTCGTGTATATGTTTTCACCGATTCTGTTGAGTGCAATTTATACTTCACGCGTCCGCGAACTGCAACCAGCAGTGCTTTTAGTACAAGCACCAGTTTCGACTCGCAACTATTACGTCGTCGTAGTGGAAGTGCGACTCGCGATAAGGATGATCATGATTGCTACAAGGCGTGCTTGTTCGGTGTATTAGCTTGTATCGCTTCTCGTTCCGGTACATCTCAGCTACACTGGTGCGCTAGTACGCCTTTATTGGTTGTCGACACCTCATTGATGAGTAGATTAAGGTCATGGACATACAAACTACTTGCATTTGACATTTTGAGCTGGAAGAGGAGACCAGCAGGTTCACACTTTTGTTACTCTTTGCAACTGAGTACTCGGCTATTAAGGTGGTTACTACAAATACAGTAGGATAAGAAACTAGCCCGAATTGGACGAGTATAAGCGCATACACGTCGTGTTGGATACTACTTATTAAGGCTGTTGATTCCAGTTATGGTAAGTGCAGATGGATTGGGGTGTGGATGACGGCGAATAGAAGACACAAGATTACAGTAATACTGCCAATGGATTGGTCTAAAAAGTTGTCATTGAGCACATATAGCCAAAGTCATGGCGGACTCTTCCGAAGACCACGAGATTTTAAGCGATGGTATCCGTGGACGCAACAAGAAGGTGGAAGCGTATTCGGACATGGAAAGCGGTACCTTGAGCTCCTCAAGCACATTTAATAGTTCTACTGCTACCGTGGACGACGACACTGTTGCTTCTTCCGTATCCTCCATCTCTGAGAAAGAGAAGAAGACATCACCTGCAACAACGACACTCTCTAACGTAGAGGCTACAATCAATTGGTGGAAATCCATGCGTCTACAGTTTGGCGACGGTCTTTTGTTGCAAATTTTCTTTGTCTACTTCACGCAAGGCGTCCGCAGTACGCTCTGCTCGCTGGGAACGAGTTACTATCTTAACGAGACGCTGGCACTGGTTCCAGCGCAGTCTGAGTCACTGCGTGCCACTGCCGCTATTCCGTGGATTATTAAGCCACTCTATGGCATGCTGTCGGACAGTGTACCTATCTGGGGGACGCGACGCAAGTCGTATCTCCTCATCTTTAGCGTCATCTCGGCTGCCGCCTACTTTTCCCTCTCTATCCCCGGACTTATCACGTCGTACGAGAGTGCCCTGGTTGCACTCGTAGTCGCGAGTCTTGGCATTGCGTTTTGTGACGTAGTTATTGACGGAAAAGTCGTCGAAGCTGCACGCAGTGAGCGCGAAGACATGGCTGGCAACCTGCAGACGCTATCATGGATCTCCCTGTCGGTCGGATCTGTGCTGGGCTCGATGGTGTCGGGATACGCACTTGACACCTTTGGTCCGCGGGGTGTTTTCTTCGTCACTGCAGCCGGCCCGCTGTGTGTGGTGCTGATCTCTATCAAGATCGTGGAGGAGAAGTATGTACCGCAAGGGGAGCTCAGATTCTTCCGAACTGTGCAAGAACAGTGTCGTGCTTTGGCATCGGTGGTGGTGGACCCCATTTGCTGGCGCCCCATGCTCTGGATCTTCCTGTCCAATGCGTTACCTCCTAGTGTAGGAGAAGCAATGTTCAGTTTCAAGACCAACGAGTTAGGCTTTTCCAAGTCCTTCCTGGGCTTCATCTCCATTGTAGGCAGCTTCACACTCCTGGGTACAACGGCTGTCTACAACGCCTACTTCCGCGACATGCCCTTCCGCCGCATGTTCTTCCGCATCCAGCTGGCATCAGCTTGTGTATCTTTGATAGAGTTCGTGCTGGTCTCCCGTCTGAATTTGCTTTTTGGCATCAGTGATCGATTCTTCATCTTCGGCGACGAAATACTTTCGGACGTGGTGGCTCGCCTCAAACATATGCCGTCACTAGTATTGTGTGCCAAGATATGTCCGCCGGGTATTGAGGGTACCATGTTCGCGCTGCTCATGTCGATCTACAACTTTTCGTGGTCTGTCGCCTCATTTGGCGGTTCGTGGCTATGCAGCTACTTGCAGATCTCCAAGACCGACTTTGTGGGACTCACCACAGCGGTGACTATCCGTACCGTCGCCAAGGTGGCGCCGCTCTTCCTGCTGTTCATGGTGCCTGCGACGACTACCATCAGCAGCTCGTCCATGGCGTCCAAGGCCAAGGTTGCAAAGGCCAAAACACAGAACGAGTGCGACAGCGACAGTGACGGCGTCGTTATCGACGTCAAGGTGAATCTGTAAGCGCATTTGTTAAACACATCAGTACAGCATGTTGGATGTTGTAAACATGTATATTTTGGTCTCGAAAGTACTGCAGTAGAATATTCCTCGAGGCGATTATGCGTACAATGCGACAGCGTCGTGGGTACTACTCGTTCAAGTCGACTTAGAAGATTTGAGACTTATCACGACAAATTGACCAATTCTTTTCACCGACTAAAGACCTCCACATTGTCCCTGTCCATCGCTGCCATCACTGCCATGCTAAATTTGTATCCATCTGCGAACCACGCTGTCTACAACGGCGCCTCGCTCAACTTTGCACCAGAAATTGACCAGCGTGCCATACCATCCACGACGCCTGCAAAGGCCTTGGAACGGACAAACTGAGTCTAGTTGCAGTATGAAGACCAAGTCTGCAGACCAGCGCTACCTTATCTCAGTCCGCTACAACAAGCAAAGACCTGAAAAATGTGCTTAAACACGAGACATCAGGCGACTTTGGCTATTTGCTGCAGCTGATGGCCCGACCACTGCCCGAGGTAGAGACTGCTGTCCCTTACAATGCTACCAAGGATCTAAATACAAATGAGAGATAACTAAAACATTTGAAGCTTTGCCAAAAGAAAGGCTCCCAAAGGAGAACACGGCGCAAGTTTGCTGCTTTATCTACATTTATTAATGTTTGTCTTCCGTCGCTGTATGATAAGCTATAGGAAGGAGTAGACGAGATTTTATTTCTTAGGTGCATAAAATGAGGCTAGTTATGAGACGATAGCAGTATGCACGCAAGTTAGGCGCAAGGATATCCGTAGTCAACACAATGCGATGCGGACAGAAAAGCGAATATCTGTCCGTACACATAGTAATATATTCTTAAAACCTACGTCCTAAATAAGAAAATATTAATTTTAAAGAGTTTATTTTGGTTGTTTAGGACGATGACCAAATTGGATACTTCAAAACCTAGGCAACAAAATGTACTTGTTGCAGGATACGATGAGATTTTATAATGTATAGTCGATTAAAACCTAAAGGGTTACCCAGCACCCACTGCTGGAAATCTGTATCGACGATGCTCAAGCGAAGCTGGACACAATACCGGTAACAGCGAAAAAAAGCCAAGGATGTTCCACAGGATATATCATTGATCACGTAGTTTTTTAGCGTAATCTGAAGGGATGACGATCACGTATCATCCCGGCCAAAGTCTGATTGGAATAATATCAGCAAAAGGTATTTAATTGGAATCGCGACTCGTGTAGCCAAGAGATTCCAAGTACTCACTGAGAATGCCACTTCCGATTCAGTTTGTGCACTCGCAACGTGGATGGCGGAGCTCGAGGCGATGCTGCAAAAAGTGCGAGAGTGTTGACTCGAGTGATCTCTTGCAGTCGTGCATGGGACTTTGCATCACGGAACTTCAAACAGCCAACTTGCAGCATTAACGTGTGGTTTCGCTTGTATGAGCTGAGCTGGCACAACAGGGAAAAGGTCCTCGCGCGCTCAAGGTCAACATCAGTTGCTAGAGTCAACAGCACATCAGTCTCTTTGTCGTCCAACTTAGCCCCAACCAACTTGATTTTCGTAAGCAAAAGAGCCTGACCACCAAAAAAAGTGAACGATGATGAAAGAAGTCGAATACCATGGTGTGAAACTCGTCATTATTACCTGCCTCTGTTCCTCTGATATACTCCACCGCCATCGCCGCAGAATTAAATCGCGAGTGAATGAATTTTCTCCGCTAATGTCATGTACGAAGCTCTCAGGAGAATCTCATGAAGTAGTAAGGCCAACTCAGGTCGGCTTTTACGGAACTCAGCCATATCTTCCCCTGTGAATGACGCCGTGAGTGTGTCGGATGCTGTGGATATTGCGTCCAACACCCGTGGCTGCTCCAGCAGGAAATCCATATCGCCAAAGATGCAACCTGGTCGGACTCGCCCCACGATCTCCCTTTGTGTGATATTCTCGTCTAGCATTGCTGACGAGCCCTGTAACTGGATGGGTCCGGCATACTCTGACTTTGGCGAGTCAGATAGCAAGGCTGACTCTGTTGGAATTGCCATCAGCTCGACTGTTCCACGCAACAGCACATACCACACGTTGGCACTTTCACCAACGCGGAATAAATGACTTTGCGCTTCCCATTTACTCACAGCAAACCGCTGAGATAACTCTCCCAAGTAGTTTAATACTGCAGGGTCGTCCTTTCGAGTGTCTGATAAATAAGCAGCAAGTACTTGTGGAAGCGCTAGAGCGGGAGAACTCTGTGGTGAGAACAGCTGCTGTCCTGAGCGAATGGACCGTTGCGTTGCCGCAGAAAGGATGACTTGTTGCTCGCACCAAGACAGAGCTAAGTCTAAGTCAGCAGTGACATGGCATTCCCTTTGTTTGGTCGTGCTGTCAGAAAACTCTTCCTCCAGAGCCGACGCAGGAATCACGTCGTTAGCTCGCAGAAGAAACTCGACATTAGGTCTCATGCCGCAATAGACTGCATGAACTTTACCAAGGCTGAACGAAAGCTTAAGCGCCAAGAAACACGAGCGCGCTGCAGTAGCATCCATTCCGCTAACTTGAGAAAAATCCAGAACAACAAACTGCGTCGGTCGCCGGCGATGGTCAACACATACCTGCCCATGGAGATTCACTAAGGAAGGCGGCATCGTTAAGTGGGTGTCGGCCGTGTAATTCTCTTGCTTGATTGCAAGAAGTGGCGATTTCTCTGATTGCTCATTGATTTTTGAAGCTCGTTCATCAGCGCTTGTGTCTACATCTCCATGTAGTGACGCACATATGTAAACTGCACTTTTGACGCAGTTTTGAATGCGCGTGGCCGATCCGAAGAATATATGGCCTTGCAGCCTAATAGTGACGATTGCATCCTGATGTCGCGAGCTGTTACTTTTAGCGCCCAAGGCCTGCGAGTCCACACCATAGAGCAACGCATGCTGATCAGCATTGCGCATAACGCTGCTGGTCTTGTGCACGATTCGAACGTCTTGGGCCTTAGCATATTCCACTAAAAAGCTTGTCGCTGCCAGCACGACTCCCGTAGCTAATCCTAACTGAACCCCTAATAGGTTCAGACAGCAAAAGGTGCCAACTACAGTCAAGTATTCGCCGAAGAGGAGCTTGTGGAAAACTCCCACTAGCCAGGTCTTGAGTAAGTCGATGCCAATAAAAATCATCACAGCCCCAAACAAGAATTTTGGCACAATTGCCATCAACGAGATGGGAGTCATGAGGATAGTAAACTCACATACAGCAACAGTCACTCCAATTAGTCTCGTCAAACCTGGAAAACGTGACTCTGCCGCTGGACTGGGGCTGAGTCGTGAAGCAAACAAAGTCTGGCTGAAGACGTACGTTCCCGGGTATCCGCCTAGAAGTCCGCTCAAGACGTTGGACCAACCGACGGCCTGCAGCTGAGTATTGTAGTTCATATTGCTGGTGGTTCCCATGCAGATGGAGGCAATATCGAGCGACGCGGCGAATGCAATCATCACAAACATGCTCAGTATTGTTGGGATTTGCCCAGGCATAGCACTCCAGTGGATATGGTGAAAATCAAACAGCGAGTATACATCCATCACTGGGACACCTGTGCCTTCGACATCAAGAAATCCGGCGTAGCGTACATCTTCTAAAGTATAACTCGAGACCCACACCATGAAGAAAAACACTGCAGGAAGCACCAAAAGACAACTGGGAAATACAGCGAAGTGATGAAAATGTGAAGTCAGTGCTGACAACAAGATTCCACCAGCCAAGCCCGGAGCGAGCAGCATCAAGTTATGAGATGAGCTCACAAGTACACCCCAACCTTGTGCAGAAGCAAGACTCACACCAGTTGTAAGTGAGATGCCTCCCTTTATCATAAAGAAGCCAACGTAAGCCAAGTACCCGCCGATTACTGGCGTCGGGAGGTACTGGACGAGCGAAGCCAAACGTGCTTTACCGGTGAGAACCAGCCCGAGACCTACTAGCATTGTGCTAAGGCTCAAGTGGATTAGCACAGTTGCGATCCGCTCTGTAATTGGTACGGCAGGGCCCAACTCTGTCATGATGGACGATGCCATGCTGGCTAAAAAGATCATCCCAGTGTCCTGTACTTGTCCGATGGCAAAGGGTAAAGGGGAGAGACTCGTGAATACGAGCTGGTGCACCATACTAGATGCAAACATGAGCTTTGTAAGCATTGGAAGGGCCAGTGCAAAGTCTGGATGGCTGAAGATCATGGTAGCAAACCCAATCATCACTGGGCACAACACTAGCAGTTGGAAGTAGTAATAAGTCAGTACATTTGTTACTCACAACTAGTCTTAGATTAACTGTTGTCGTACCGATAGAAATGACAACACCTGCTAAAAGAGCTTGAGTACTACCTTGAAGCAGTAATTGCAATGACAACGTCATATCGTCTTTCATGTTCATAGGACGATGTTTGTTAATGCCAGGAGAGAGTGAGAGTGCATGCAGTACCACGTCTCCATCATCATCAAAGCACGGCCGACCGCTGTTTTCGTCAACTGTTACACGTGAGCACGAGAAGGAAGGCTTCATCTTAATTTCAAGTGGTTATTACTTCTTTACTTCCTTCCTACGTAGTAAATTCGCAAATGGTGACAAGACACTTCAACTTGCGAGGCGACGTTTCGTGTACCTACTATCCGGCATACGTGACCCTCACCCATGTTCAACATACACCTATGAAAGAGAATATTAAGTAAACGACACGCAAGACACGTGGTTACAATAATCAATTTGTGCAGCTCAAATGACCGCTAAGAATCCACGTATTATCGCTCTTTTTGATGTGGATGGTACACTTACTATTGCTCGTAAGACTGCGACATCTGAGATGATCACACGACTACAAAAACTACGCAAAAACATTACAATTGGCGTCGTAGGTGGCTCAGATCTCGTGAAGCAAAAAGAACAACTGGGTGAAGATGGTGTGTTGGCAAATATGTATTATTCTTGCTATGGTTTGTAGATAGAAATGCTGACTATAATGAACGTCTAGTGATTAATAACTTTGACTACAGCTTTTCGGAGAATGGTCTGGTGGCTTATCACAATGGAAAACTCGAGGGGGAGACGGTGAGAGGAGGACCAACGCTAGTTTAAGTCTGTCTTTTTTGACTGACAGATTCTTGTGTCTATAGACCCTCAAGAGTCAGTTCACGAACTTACAGATCAACCGTTTGGTCAACTTTTGCCTGCACTATATTGCAGACCTGGACATTCCCGTGAAGCGTGGGACGTTTGTGGAATTCCGCATGGGAATGATCAATGTGTCGCCCATTGGCCGCAATTGCTCACAGGAGGAGCGTGATGAGTTTGAAAAGTACGATCACATCCACAAGATCCGTGAAACCTTTGTGGAAAGGCTTCGGGACGAATTTCTCGACTACAACCTGACCTTTTCCATTGGTGGACAGGTACAGCAGAACTTGCTGACTCGTGTGCAATGGTATTTGAACTAAGTGATGTGATTATGGTTTGTAGATATCCTTCGACGTGTTTCCGAAAGTAAGAAACGTTACCAAATGCGTTTCGTTTGACTGTGTAAAGTGACGAACATCTCTTTGCGTTGTTGATTTGTTCTTGGCAGGGTTGGGATAAGACCTTTTGTCTCCGTTATCTAGATGCAAAGGACTATGACGAGATTCACTTCTTTGGCGACAAGACTAACAAGGTGAGCTTGATTAGTTTTTGATTGCTTTTGTCTTAGAAGCATTTTTCGGCTAATGTTATCTGGCGTATTCAGGGTGGCAATGATTACGAGATCTACACGAGCGAGCGCACCATTGGCCACTCCGTTAAGAACCCCGAAGAGACTATCCAGATCCTGGACCAGCTCTTTCCTTAGACCACTGTACCCTTGCTACTTTTGATGGGTTATCGTATACCCGCGTAACGTGGCCATCATACCAGAAATGTCAATAGTATCAGCGCCTTCCCCGTTTTCCATTGCTTTCATTTTCTTCAAGCAGCACGTCATTACCAAGTACGTTCGCCATGGGATCGTCACCGCGTGACTTGAGTATCTTGTAGGCCTCCATCTCCTCTGCGTTTACCTCGTAATTGCCCATCGAGTTGTACTTGCGTTTCTTGTCATCCTTCTCCTGCTTCTTCTTCTCCTCGGCTACCTTCTTCATAGCCTTCTTGAGCTTCTTTTCGTCTAATTCAGGGGCAATATTCTCGCCATACATCTCACTTCGCTTGCTGATCACACCGCTTGCCTGAGCTTGTTTAGTCTGATCAACCAACCCAGACTCGAGTGACCCAGGCAAATCCAGTGCAGGCCGCTCCGAGTACGTCGATTGCAAGTCATGAAGGGCCTTCTTTCCATCATCGCCCGTGCAGTACGATTTGCGAGCCTTCGAGTGACAGCAGGCATATCCCCACGCCATTTCGCTGCGATCAAACCACGAGCCCCAGATACTCGTGTGGTTGTTTTCGAAAACGTCTTCAATGTATTTGGAGCGTACTGGTGCTCGTTCACGACCCTTGACGACCCGGCCGTCGCGCGAGTACTCGACATAGTGCTCGCTCTGCGCCAACAGAAGCTCCTTGGGTGGTGCTTCGAGATGTTCCTGACCTCCATACTTGTCTAGAATCTTACGGCTCTTCTCCTTTTCCAACGCAGCCTTCCTTTCTTCGTACTGCTTTTTCAAGAACTCAGCTTGCGAAGGGTTTGCAAGCGAGTGGATATCTGTGCCCTTGGAGTAAGCCTCCCATGCAAATAGCTGAGCCGACGCTAATTTCTGAGCGTCGCCCGTATAACGCGCCATGTTGTCACCAATAAACGTAGTATCCTCTGGGTTTAGCTCTGGGTTGGGATTATCGCGCATAGATCGCGTCTTTGGATCATAAAAGGCCGAGTTCGGATTCAAGTTCCGAAGGTACTTGGCCGTATCTTCTCGGATCCGCAGATTACGCACCGTTGTTTTCATCTGAGCACCACCCACACCTCCCTGTCTTGCCACACGTTCTGTAAACATGGGCCCTTCATCCCGATCGCGAAACTCTTCATCCTCTGACTCCATATCGGACTCATAGTCAGAATCCGAGTCCGAGTCCGAGTTCAAGTCCAATGCTTTGTCTTTGTTCTTTTCTTTCGCCCGTACCTTCTTCTCTTTCATCATCTTCTTATCTACTGAGTCATTCAATTTCTTATTAATCTCTTCCCTTCGAAGTTGTTTACGAGCTGCATCCACTTTCTCGTATCGTTCAATCGTTTTGGCATGTTCTTTTGGGTCATAACCCAACCATTGATCACGTTTCGCATCAAATGCAAGTTTACCAAACTTTTCCGACCGTACATCGACAATGACGTCATCATGTTGAAGGTTCTTATTTGTCTTCCACGCACCCACTTTACGTGGTCGGTCGACACATTCGTTCGTCTTGTGAGTCATCGCACCACAGTTTTTACACGCCCCTTTACGCCATTTGCGCTGTCTATTCCCAGTACTTGGCTCTACTGACACATGATTATTTCTCCCCTTAATATAAAGATCATCCGCTTCATGAATTGATAGCAAATGAGCTTCATGTTGAAGCGTCTGATGCTTAAGAGAAGGTCCCGAGTCACCTAAATACCACGGTCGCTTGCTAATATATTCAGGATTGTGTGGATTAATAAGATTACCATCTGCATCTTGTTCAGGTGGTAATGTTCCATTTTTACGTGCTTCTTCAATCTCTCGTTTCTTCTTAAAGTCCGTGCTCGATAAGCGCTCACCTCCAGCAGACGCCATATTGATTATACGAGTCCGTTTGATCGTTATGATTGGTTGATTATGGATCATCAAGTTATTATCTTTTCAACCAATCGAGATCGAGTATCCTCCTAATTTCCGTCATTATGGAATTTGCCCTCAAGGGTGAGAAGAAAGCAGCAAGAGTGATTGTCTCTCGACCATGATCTCAGCAGCAGCACACGCAGAATGTATGCGACTCTTGGAATTACTAACAAATGCACGTGTACAAGAGAGTTGGTCATGGGTATTTATGACGCCTGTGACGATTCCTGGCTATGAGAAAGTAATTAAAAAACCCATGGATTTAGGTACAATTACAAAGAATTTAGGCTCCAAACCCTCACGTTGTCGCTTTAAATCACATGAAAAATTTGCACGGGACGTTCGGATGGTCTTTAACAATGCACTGGTGTATAATAAGGACGACCACGACGTCAAGGGCTCGGTTTATGCTGCCGCGCAACATCTTTTACGGGTGTTTGAGACTGCGTACGCGAAATCAATTGATAACGTCTTTCGAGCTGATGATGTGGCAAAAGCAGCATATCGAGAAGCTAAGGAAGAAAAGAGAAGGGCGGACGAGAAACAACAAGATGAAGAGAAGAAGAAACGAGAAGATACGAGCTCTTTTGTGTCGTCTTCTCTTCAGTCTCATAATACGAGTCATAACAGTCATTCTTATCGAGAAGAAGGGGGAGAAAGTAGTAGACACAAACATAAGAAAGACAAAAAGTCGAAGAAATCCAAGAAAAAGAGCAAGGAGAGAGACAAAGAACATAGACACTCGAGTTCTAGTAGTGGTGAGAGCAAGAAGAAATCACATCGAAACGATTACAAAAATAAGGTTGCAACAGCTTCTACCACTTTGCCGAAGGACGCTGTGGTGGAACACGCACCGGTGGGGTCCAGAAACGACGTTGCCCTGCCAGCTTCCAGTATTTCAGTTCCACCTCAGAGCAACAACTCTATGGTCAAGCAAGAGCCTGCTTTGGGTACTACTGCTGGAGCCAAGATGTCAGATGCGGAGGTGATGGCGTGCCTTTCACTATTGATGAAGTTGATCAAGTATAAGGAGGGGAACATCAGTCCTGCAGCCCCATTCCTCCAACCAGTGGACGTGACACACTTTCCGGATTATCGTGTCAAAATTCCGAATCGAATGCATCTGTATGGGGTCCAGAAAAAACTCCGCAGTGGGAGTTATGCCACCATTGATGCATTTGCGCACGACATGCGTCTGATTTTCTCGAATTGTTTGGTGTACAACAGCGATGTGGTTCTAAGCAAAGTGATGCGGACTCACGCAGTCACTCTTATAAAGCTGTTTGAGAATCAATTTGCCAAGATTGGTGGCTCGTGGCCTGGTGTTCCGGAGCGGTGGAAGTGTCATCAGATTATTCACGAAATACTTGCGCACCGCACAGATGGGCAGGAGACAGCACAGTGGTTTAAATATCCCATCGAATCGTACTATGACTCTCCTGATCAAATTCCATACAACTATTACGAAATGGTAAAGAAACCCATGGATATCGGCACGGTGTCATCAAGGCTGCACCTTGGCAAGTACAAGCACGCGTCTGAATTTGTAGCGGACATGAAACTGGTCTTTGACAACTGCATTCATTACTGGAAGCCGGATCCTCAAGGACAGACGTATTGTAAGTCTGCGGAGACCTTGCTACAAGTTTTGCATGCGCGAAGTGCTATATTTAGCTCTTCATCGAGTAGCACTGGAGTATCGAAAAATCAACGATCGTCATCATCATCAATAAAAAGCAAAACTGTTCCTGCTGGTTTGCCTGCTTCCTCCTCGCAAAAATTAGCAGCACCTGTGATCAGCGTGTCTGGTAGCGAGCACGAAGCGACCGTGAAGAAGACGTCGTCGTCAAAGTCATTAAAGTCGTCAAAGTCGTCAAAGTCCTATCAAAGTCGTCGAAATCGCGTGAGTCAAGCGGAGGGTTGCCTGAAAGAGACATATGCTTGGGAATTATGAAGCAGTTACGTGGACACAAAATGAAGGGTTATGGTGGTATCGAGATCAAGACGGCTGGTCCCTTTTTGACTGCTGTAGATACTACAAAATACTCGGATTATCTTACGATCGTCTCGGAGCCGATGGATTTCGCTAAAATTGAACGCAAACTTAAAAGTGATCGGTATGGCAGCGTCGACGAGTTTAGCGCTGACGTGCATTTAATCTTCTCCAACTGTCACAAGTACAATAGTGATCCTGTGGAAGGTGCCGATATCCGAGCAATGGCCACCAACCTGCGCAACTATTTCGTTAAACTCTGCAACGATAAGTTGGGCCCTTTAAACGGCATGGTAAATGAGCCGACTCACACGCCAACCCTTTCGGCCCAGATCCCATCACTACCATCATCCCTAGCTGCAACAGATTCAAAGTCAGCAGTTCCCGCACCGATTGTTGAAGCTAAAGCGCGTATTGAAGTCACTGGGACAGAGTCTTCTTCGCTACACAAGCCAAAGAAGAAAACCCCTGCCCCCTCTCCGATAAAGACACCGGTATCTGCTTCTTCAGTGGCGACCTTTAGTATCGCTAGCCCCGCTTGCGAACCGAAAAAGGACATGTCATCAAGTAATAGCCGAGAAGCACTCGTGGTTAATTCTACTGTCGCTGCAACCTCAGCACCAGCAGTTTCGCTGGAGCCATTGGTTCAAGTTGAAGTAGTGCCCACCTCTATTTTAGCAATTTCTTCTTCTGCCATAGGCAAGGAGGTACCTCATGATAGCGGCACTAATTTGGCAGGGCTCAATCTAGAGGAAGCGAAAAGATTGCGCAAGGAGATGAAAGAGAAGAGAAAGAAAGAGAAGAAGGAAAAGAAAGAGAAAAAGAAGAAAGACAAAGAGAAAAAGAGGGAGAAAAAGGAAAAGAGAGAACGTAGCAAGGTTTCAAGCTCCGCCCCACAGGTACTAATGGATCATGATTACTGTGTAGTGGTACAACTCGTTCATACTAACTATCGCGTGGCTTGACTACTTTGACAGGAGAGTGGGTCTGTTGTCCAGGAAAGCTCCTCACCGGTAACAGCTCCATCTAATTTTGCCTCGACTACTGCAGCACCAGCACACGCCCTCCCTAATGGTGGGGCAGCTGTTTTTGCTAGTAAGATACAACCTACAGTACCTGCAACTGCATCGGCAGCGATCGCCTCTAAAAGAGGTTTGGTGGAACCCCACCTTACTTCTGGTTTGGTATCAAGTAAAAAGAGCAAAAAACACAAGAAATCGGACTTAATTTCCTGGGAGGTTTCCTGTGGTCGCGTATTAAACCGTTTGAGCAAGATTGAGCAAGTGGCGAAGTTACACTTCAACCACCCTTTACTAGAGGTATTCCCACAGCTCGCTAGCGAGTACACGAGCTTGATCACAGAGCCGATGGACCTGCGCACATTGCGCGAACAGCTGCATACTCATGCACTAACCCAAGTAGAGTTCTTGCGGAAAGGCCGTCTCATTTTTCTGAATGCTATCAAGTTTAACTTTGCCGAGGATCCAGCTTCGGTTCAGGTCCGCAACATGTCTGCGCATTTGTTGTGGTACTTCGATTCGTTGTGCGCTGAGCTGCAAATTCATCCGACGCCTGGGGAGGAGAGTCGTGTAAAGCGCGATCAGTTGAGGCATGAGCGTGCGGAGTTTGTGAATACTGTACCGGTTGAGCTTAAAGCCAAGGAGTGTCAAAAGCTGCTCCGGGCGCTGAATAGCCAGAAGTATGACAAGTATTGCTGGCCATTCCGTAAGTCTGTCCGCGTGCTGTTCCCATCGCTATCACCGGATTACTTCGATGTTATCAAGACACCTATGGATTTGTCAACTATAGCGGAAAAGCTAAACGAGTTTGAGTATAAGACGCACGGCGAGTTTATTCGGGACTTGCGGTTGACGTTTGAGAATGCCATGGTCTACAACAGTGCGGACAAGGATCGTGAAGGATGGAGTGTGTATTCAGCTGCCGCGCATATGCTAGCAGTAGTGGGGGACCTATGGGGAGATGTGACGCTGGAAGTGACTGAAAAGACTCGCCGTCGAGAATTACTACGTAAGGAACGCATGAATGAGTCAAAGCGAAAGCGGAGTGATACTTCTGATGCCAGCGACCGTGAGAGAAAAGTTCACGGACATCACTATCACCCAAGTGGTGACAGTGAATTTGGTGGACACAAGCACGATCACAAAAGCAGCAAACACCTAGCCGAGGAAGCTGCTGTGCCTGCTGAAACCACAGCTATCACTTCAACGTTGAAAAAGAGCACAGCTTCTGGTTCCACTGCAACTTCTGTCGTCGGGACGATTGTTGTCGGTGGTGGAAGCGGCTCGCGCGATGATGCTGATGCTTCGGATGCGACAGCAACCCGAGTGAAATTGCAACTTTTGCCAAACAGACCAAACATGGAACGCATGAACAAACAAGAGCGAAAGGCCGAAGAAAAGCGGCGGAAGCGAGCTCGGCGCGAAGAGGAAATGGCGCGGACGGAGAAGAGACGCCGTACTGCTGTAGCAGCCACGGATGACGCGTTGCGTGAGGCTGAGATCCGGAGTCGTCGTAAGCTCCAGAAGCTGGAAATTGCCGAGGCAGTGCGTCTGCGCGAAGAACGTGACCGCCGTGCCGCAGAAGAGGAAGCTGAGCGGGCTCATCGGGTACAGATGAAGCTGAACGCTGCTGCCTGGACCGGTGTGTTGGTACCAGCTACAGGCACTTCATCGCGCAAAAGGACGGGTTTCTGGGCAAAGAAGCATACGAAGTTGCAAACTCCTACGGCATTCCAACCACCAGCTATCAATGCTTAGGCTGTAATGCTGATAGCCGAATGCGTATGACAGAATAAAAAGTATCTTCTTGAAAATCTAGTCGAGCTCATGTGATACTCGTACTGAAGTAGAATGCCTAGCGTTCACTACCTAATAAAAGACGAGAGAAAATTAAACTGCAAGTGTAAATAAAAGCTGTGCACGACAGTATTTCCTGTTTTTAGGCTATGCCGCTTCGTGGTTCTGTGAATTGCTCATACGTGTAGACGAATAGAAGGAGCTTCACTTCAGGCTTGACCAGGAGCCATTACCATTGTCATCGTCGTGTGCAGTGTAGAATTGTTGTGAATTGCCTTATCAACAATGGACTTCCAGCTGATTAAGCAAGAGAGATGCCACAGATCGATTCTGCTAACATCTTCTCCCCAGTCGGTTGTCCTTGTTGTTCATGTTTTTCAGATCTTTGTTGTCCTGCCCGGTGCAACGCCATGCCGAGTCTGTTTTGATTTTTGTTTCTTATCTTCCATTTTTTTCTCAGGAAAATGCGGCAACGAGCTAGCAAATAAGCCTTGTGGCCAACTAGCTTGCTCGCCCCTTGTTCCAATCAAGATTACGAGCCTTGATTTTGCTCTCCGTTTCAATTTTCTCGTACCCCTTGTATCCTCCATTATACCTGCCGCCTCCTTGGTTCAGCAACCCTGCTTACGGGTACTGCATACGTGGATCTTGTTCGTTTCCAAAGCTTGCGTCCGCCACGAGTCCCCCATCAATACCTTGCCAGCCGTACTTAAAGTGGTAAACGTGCGGACCTGGCGTATCTTCTCCACCGCACGTGTGGTAGCTGCCACTACACAGGCATGGTGGTGGCAGAGCCACTAGAGCATAATTGTTGCTGGGCGAGCACGGCGACGGACAAGTTTCCAAGCCGTAGCTCTTTCCCAGCGGAGTGTTCAAGCCAGTAGAGTACAGATCCACCACATTGTCCGGACGCAAAAGGCCACGAGCCAGATGACTAGGTACCACAACCTGTGACTGGATAAACAGTAGCTCCTCCGTTGGCACCTTGGCCCAGCGGTCCTTAGCTTGAGTGCTCGTAGCTTCCAAATCACACACACCATAGGCCCTAGTGTAGAGCCACGACTTGCATTCCCATAGCACATTAAAGTCCAATTGCAAGAACTGTGCCACAAACATAAAATCCAGTCCCGGATCCACAAGTAGCAGCGCTGCTCCAGCCAATACACTGGGCCAGTACTCAATAGCCTGGTAATCAAGCAGTGCAATATCCACGAGACGAATGGCGTTCACAAATAGCTCCTTAGTGCCCAATGGATTACGTGCTGGATTGACAAAATCACCCATAGTATCCAGCGGACGTTGATCAGCTGATCCACCAGCGACCATAAACAACAGCCATGCATAAGGTGTCGTTGGATGCAAATTCCACTGCAGCTCCTACTTATCACATAATATAAACAATACAAAGGTATTTCATATCAGATTCCATTTCTCCTTTGCTTCTTCTTCTCTCTATAAAGTCACCTCTTTAAGTACGTACCACGACATATTTGACTTCAAATTTGGCCAACTCTTGGGCTGCGACTTGAACACCTCCTCTTTCTGCCAAGAAAGTGACCAAATCAACTGCTTTTGGTGGATGAACTTCTTCAATCTTGGCTGCCATAAAGACACATGCAAGTCCCAAAACTCGTAATTGTCTCTGTATCTGACGTGTCGTTGTACTATCCGTATACATGTCATGTATACGTGTACCAACTCCACGACGTAATAAAACCTGTGAATATTGATTGGCAAAATGGGCCGTTTGACGCTGAAGAGCGAAATGAGCGGAAATTTCAACAATCCAACGCCATGTAAAGCCAAATTGTTCAAATGACGTTGTCTCGAGACGAAGACAAAGTGGCAAGTGACGTGACGGTGTCTTTAATGGCAATTCAAGTGGATTGAAACGACCATCAAGAGCCAATTGATGGTACGACATTTCCTTTTGACGCATACTTAAGACCGTCATGAGATCAGGATTCATGGCTTAACGCCTGCTCTCTCGCACACTCGTCGTCGTTTCTCTCTCTCTTTCTCTCTCTCTCTCTCTCTCTCTCTTGTTATCGCGTCTTCTCTCTCTCTCTCTCTCTCTCTTCTTTCTCTTATCTGATGCTACTGAGCGTCCGTCCTTCTTGTCTTCCCCCCGTCACTTCCACACTAAAAAGAAAGCCAGCAAGTACGTATTAAGTACGACAGATTGTGACCCATTTGGAAAGAAAATGACCTATTTTTTAACGACGGTGAGGAAAGTTTCGCTTTATTTTTAAACAGTTTTGAGTGTAATATTAAGTAGCATCTGCGTCGTTACAGTTTGCGCAATATCACAGACGTTTACGAAAAACCGCATAATCTCATGCGTTGACATCGATTCATACGCAGAATTAGGAGATGAAACCGACAGTTACGTTCAAATCAGTTCGATTTGTTTAATTTCAGCTGCTAACATTTACTCGCCCAGTTTTTTAGAATATTAAGGCAACTGCAATCCTAGACTTATCGTTCTTTTTTATCTCGACTGTTTTGGGCGGGAGGTTTTAAACTACTAAAAAGTATTGATTTTTACAGTTAAAGAAAAGAAGCAACGTGCACGAATCTCAGATTTTTGCACACTACCCATTTTCAATTGGTTGTGCAAACAACCTACCCAATTTTACTGTCCGAAGAATCTGATTCCGGGACGAGGTATTATATTAATTCAACCCCCACCTGCTACCATCCCCCTTGAAATTGATACCGATTTTATTGAATCGAATATGTGTACCACATAAAGCTCGAAGTTGACACCGTCACCTAATGCTGCATGTACCACGACTAACGTCTTCCATCTGCGTCTTTAGCCGCATTAAATCTTTACATTTCCTATCTTCATCTTCTACATCCATTTTATCTACCCATACATTCATTAAGAAAGAGAAAAATGGTCTAGAAGAGCGAATAATATCAGCATTAGTTGTCAATCGACCAGGTATTGTATTTTAATGTGAAACTATCAAACATCATAACTCTTTATTATCTTACTATTTGTATACCACTTACAGGAACACTAGCACAACTTGCTAATGTATTTAAATGTGCAGATCAAAGTATCTCTGGTCTATGTGTACGCTCTACCATTGTCCCAGAGCTCTCACGTGTCACAATCACATCTTTTCTACAAGATCAGGAACTACCGGCACTTAAAAAACGACTTTGTGCTCTTGTAGCCGTGACTTTCTTCCATATAACAAGTGTCAAGTTTTGTGTCACCAGTGAACAGCTTTTACTGCGATCTCAGCTATTGGTACAAATTCGACGAAATCCACGTCGCCAGTGTCACTTATTACGGACTTTGAATGAGTTTCAAGCCGAGATTATCGTCCCACATGATGAACAAGATGCAGAAAATGACGATTCAGTGGTGATAATGGATGATGAACATTTGAATCACGATGGCGTCCCTTATTCCTATAGTAGTGCTGCCTCAGTGACGCAATTTTTGACACTTGTTGATGAACCACACCAGTTGATGCAATTTGTCGATGCACTCAAGGAGAGAGGATTTCAAATCATTGAGACACAAATGTGTGGGCCAGTGTTTTTAGACACTTCACATTCGACACTGGACCCGAGAGACTCCTATTCATTCCGACGCAAAGTCGCCTTGGAAGTGGAGAATTTGCTTCTTGTGTCTACGGACAATGAGGCGACCATTGCAAAGATGGAACGACATGTTAGTGAAGGCACTGCGTCCGTGCTACGACAACTGAAAAAGGACAAGGACTCAGGAGTGGTGAGCTCTGAGGCAAACCCACTGGATGCTCATGTCATGATGTCGTCCATGTCGCCTACGTCAACACTCCAACTACATACAAATGACCGGGGTTGCTTCACTTCCAACCGGTTGCGATTGCATGCTCGCATCGCACAGCAGCTGTACTCTTGTGCGCCGCAGGACATAACGGCTCCCAAATTTGTGCTTTTGTTGGGCATTCCCGGATCAGGCAAGTCAACAATGCTAAGTCATCTCGATCTCATGGAACAGCTAACGCTACAAGACTTTGTAAACTTTGACGTTGATGATGTCATTGCGCTTCTTCCAGAGTTTTACCACGCAATGCTTAACGTGGGTCTAGGCAATGACCCAGAAAGTCGCAGCGTGACAGATTTGGAACATGCTGGAATGAGCTCAAAAGACCATGTCAAATTGCTGCCGAGGCCACAGACACGATACCAGTTGTGTCGCGACGAGGCACGCTTCATTCTAAAGAAAAATCTCGACGGCGCAATCATGTCACGCAAGAACATTATTCTTCATGGTAGTGGCAAGAGTTTCACCAGTTATGCGCTCACCATTGATCAAGTGAAGGCGGCAGGTTTTGATGTCCATGTGGTATGTTTAGACATTTCGATAATGGAGGCTTATAAGCGGGTGGACAAACGTAGCAGTGGCTTTGGGCGCGACGTTCCTCGACTTGTTATTGAGACGGCGTCGTCATTAATTACGCGCAATTTCCGTCGGCTAGCAAGTCGCGTGCCTAACGCACACCTGTTTGACAGCATTGGGATCCCACCACGGCTAGTCTGGAGCAAACAACGCTCAGAGATCGTTACGGAGCATCCAGACGATGATGTACAGCGAAAGTTTGGCATCGAGTAGAGTCAAGAAGAGGGTGTTGACATATTTAATCTTGCAGAGCGGTCGAGTGGAGGGATAGCCAACAAAAGTGTTCAACACCGAAGAATCGATAGATAACACATATGACAGGACGCTGATACTAGCGCCAGCACTTCAGGGCTGAGGAACGGGCTGACGACGCAGACGGAAGCTTCGCACAAACAGCTCAGCTTATTTATTCACAACTCCATAGCTAACAGAAATCTACGCTCAGTATGAGGCAGGAAAACAAGCCCGGAGATGGGATCAGTGTACAATTTGCGAAAATACACTTGATCGAGCGAACCTCGTTCTGCATCGTCTTATTCATCCCCCCCAGAGATAGGATCGATCTCGTATTTTCAAGGATTTGCTATGGCCCGAGAAATGCTGTTCCAGTCCAAGGGTGTTCTCAACATTCGGCAAGCAAGTGTTTTTGAGACTGTTGTAGAGCTCGTTTATGTAGGCCATTTTTCGCTTCGTGAACGAGTTTCGATACTCGTCCTCCCAACTGGCACAGCGTCGGTGTAGCAGGCAACGTACCCTTTTCAAGAATTGGGGACACCAAGAAACACTCGTCCAGCCTCTTCAACGGTAAATCTGTTTAACGGAGTGCTTGGAAGTGAGATTGTAGCCTATAACTCGCTAAGTCTGTTGGAAAACCCGAACATATTTGTCGAAATATATCGCAGCCCGTCCCAAACTTAATTTTCTCGATCGTACCCGGCACCACATAAACTTTGCTCCAGTGAAGTTGTATCTGCTCATAGAAACCATCACACGAAGCAGTTATCACTCGGCGTCGGCAAGATGTTGATCTTGCTCTGAATTGCTGCTCCACGTCTCATTGTTAGAAGAGGCAGCAAAAGCCAAACAGATTGCAAGTATGCCCATAGCGAGGAGAAGGATAAGACGGCTGCGTGTGGACTTGTAGCGGGCGAGTGCTGTGCAAGCAGGTGCATATTCAGTTGTGAGCTTGATAAATCCAGCGGGGATAAAACTAATCAGCTTCACTCGAAGAAGAGGGAGCCAGCCTCGTAAGTCAGCTTACCCATCCACAATTGTAACTACGACCTGGACACGATAACAGTTTTGACATCCGATCAGCTTTAGAAGTAGTTTAGTGAACGCTTCTCAATGTAACCCCGAAGAGAATTTCCTGACACCAAAATAAAACTTGCCTGGCCACGTTGCAAATGTTCGTGTGATCCTGATTACCTTGAGCTGTACTGCTTCCTCAATTTCTCATAATGCTGGATTTCTGCGGGCGACACGGATGGAACGATCTGCGAAAGCGCCGTCATAAAGTGCTTCTGACTAACGAACACACGCAGTTCTTCTGGCGACAATCGATTGAGAAGCAAGCGCATCGTTACGGGACTGGAAGAGTAGCAGTCCTCCGCGTTAATTTCTTCTGAAAATTGTCACAAAGCACACAGCGTATCAGAAGAGGTACACATGGTTCTAGACATTGAAAACACATACCAAGTTGTCGATCCAGAGACTCAACGCGATCCTTCAGTGCAGCCGCTAGTGCACTAGAGCTGAGCGCGTAGAAGTCAGCGCCCGTGAAGTTAGTCGGACAATGCTCAATCACTGCATGCAAATCAGCATTCTCCGCCAGCGTAAACTTTCTTGTCTGCGCCTGTAGCACTTTTAGCTGTGCAGCTTTCTCATTACAAATACCAAGGTACAGCAGACGATCAAAGCGCCCGGGGCGCAGCAAACCCGTTTCCAGCAAATCTGGGCGGTTTGTTGCGCCAATTACAAACACTTGGTCATTGCCGCCGCCACTAAGACCATCGATCTCCGTCAGTAACTGCGATACCACGCGGTCCATGACACCACCAGAGTCCGATCCGCGCCCGCGCATTGGTGCTAGCGAATCCAGCTCATCGAAGAATAGAATGCAAGGGCGACAGCTGCGAGCCTTTGCAAAGACCTGCCGCACATTTTTCTCGCTTTCACCAATATACATGTTCAGTAGTTCTGGACCCTTCACACTGAGAAAGTTGAGATTGCACTCCGTGGCAATGGCCTTTGCTAGCAATGTTTTTCCCGTGCCTGGAGGTCCATACAACAAGATACCAGATCGCTGCCGCAATCCACTGGCGAATAGTTCCGGGTGCTTAATCGGTAGCTGCACGACATCTAAAATCTCATCTTTCACATCTTCCAGACCACCCACGTCAGTCCATTTCACATTTGGAATCGATGCGTTACCGATGTTAGCGGATGATGCCTGCGCTTGCTGGATCTGTACAGCTTTCTCCATATCTTTCATCGAAATAGAACAATGATGGGAGAGAAGATCGTCGGAATCGCCAAACACCAAGTCCTCCAACGATTGCTCACTGGCGTCAGTCTCGTCACCAAGGACTCGCTCAATTGCAAGACTAGCGGCATCTGCCAACATAGCTGAGAGTTCTCCATACGTTCGGCCCGCTGTTAGCTGTGCGATCTCCGCCAAATCCACGTCCTCATCAAGCTCTGTAGACGCTGATACGTGCTGCAAGAACTCAAGCCGCTTCGGTTGGTCTGGTACCTCAAGATGCATCTCGTACAGAAAGCACTGTCGGATAAACTTCGGCACTTCATCCACGTCTTCAACGCCTGCAATCAACGGGATATTGTGCTGGTTCTGACTGAGTGAACGAATGCACTCGGAGAGAACGGCGCCGATGCGCAACTCTGCTTCCTCATTGTCTTTCTCGACTGGAAAGAAGTGGCTGATATAAAGGAGGCAAGGTGACAGCGCTTGTGCTTTTGTTACCTGACTCCGTACGTTGTCTAGCAAATGTAGTTCTGACTGCCCCGTGAGCTCAGTGAACGGTATCTCCATTGTGATCACACCCAACTGCTTTGCTACTTGATGAACAAGAGTCCTCTTGCCGACACCGCGAGCACCACTAAGAAGAACTGATACAGGGATATCGCACAACTGTGTTGGGTAAAGCACTTCATACAATTTTTGTTTGGTAGCCGGGGACGGGAGTATTGAGTCAAATGAGGGTGCACTAGCACCATGTCGGCTCTGTATCATGAACTGTTTAATAGTTGCTTCGTCAGGCGATACGGCCGAAGTCGATGACCCTTGCAAAAGCTCCGTCGTATGAGAGATCGTCAGTGCCAAAGCGTCTCTATTTTCCCCATTCATTTTTTCAACTCGGAAAAACATGAGCGCAGTGTCCAAATCCAAAGTCGGTGGCATAAGTTCTGTCGTTGACTCAGCAGTGTCACCGTCTTTGGCCACCATACAGGTTGCAGGTATTTCTACGCATTTGTAAGGCACATAGTTTTCCTTGTATCGTTCATTCTCCTTGGGGACATGAGACTGCGTCGTCTCCCGTAGCTCCACAGCAAAGATATCTCCACTTTGTACAACTTTAGCCGATGCAAAGTAGATTCGAATAGCTTCCACAAGTCCATCACGTTGTTGCAGTAAAGCATGTTGGCCACATGATAGACTTGAGACTAAAAGGGGTGCAATCATGGCATTTAAAGCTGCTGCAGGCTGCTCTTGTTGTTTCCGATGATATGGCTGTAATAATTGCAGTGGGAGTCCCAATTCTTGTGACGATGCAGCGCAAATAGTCATCTATAAGGTCCATCGAAAACTACAAGTCAATTGTGGTAATAAAGTGGAGTAAATTGCAATTGCTATGGAAGAACGTACTGACACAATTGTATGACTATTTAAAGGAATTCCGAGGTTAAAAGCCAACAGTGGCGATAGTATCACGTCTGCATTGATAACATCAAGTTGATCGGTTGTTTGTATACTTGATTTTACGATTGGTTTTGGCAATAAACGCAATCGTCCGACATGGCTACACTCTTGATAGTGAAGCATCACAAATGAATCGTGAATTACTCGCAGACGACGCAGCAACGTCACGTCATACGTCGCTATAAAGGTAAGTGGATCATCTGCAGAAGATACACAATAGCTCTGTGTATTCCATACGGTCGCACGCACCGTGTGCTGCTCTGGAGCGTCGGCAGCAAAGGACGAGAGCCACATGTAGCTACTCAATTAGTGAATTCTAGCTCTACGTGAAGTAAACCACATTGAATGAATACGAAAGTCGATGTGGACTACATGCAAAAACACCCTGGGGTCAAGATCTCCATACAAAAACACTAAGAGAATGATGACCAAGCCAAGTAACAAGAAGCCGATCAAGACGGACAAAAAGGTAGCCGCAGTCCCTGTGACGGCTGAGAAGGCCCCAAAACTTATAATTGTGACGGAAGAAGACGATGAATTTGAGGAATTTGAAGATGCAGATTGGAATGGACAAGCGGAAGAGAAGGACGCGCATATTAAGCAACAATGGCAAGACGATTGGGACGTGGATGAGGCTGATGACGAGTTTTGCAACCAATTGAGAAAGGAGTTACAGAAGAACAAGTAACATGGACCATGTGAGAGAAGTTGTTATCGATGTAGGAAGGATGGAACAATGTGATCGAAGACTTTTAAACAAACAATAGCACACTTTCTCTTCTCTCTATTTTCTTCCTTCTTGAGTCAAAGGACAAGACAATTAAAGCACTTGTAACAAGTGTGTGTGTATGTGTGTCTATCATTTGATCTTGTCTTGTAGATGCATGGGTACATCAGGCTCAAAGAGTGCGTCACGCTTCCATTCTGGCACGTACTGCTTAAATTGTGCCGCTTCTCGCTCGTCATCTCTATCCAAAAAGTCCTCAGGTTTAACGTCATCCGACTCCGACCTTCCTGGACGTCGTGCTTCCTTTGCTTCGTTTGCAGCCTGTTCAGCCTTTGCTTTTGCTGCAGGATTAAGCAGCAGCTGCGCCTGTTCAAGCGTCAAGCGCGTGTTCATGAGCTTGTCCACAGGGTCACGAATCTTGAACGTTGCAAAGCGAATGATGGGAAAACTATTCTTAAGCTTTGCTTCAATCTCTTGCAGTACAGTAGGCGACGTATTAAACTGCTGAACAATGAGTTTGCCTTGATAATGACGTTGCAAAGCGCCCCATCGACGGTCTTCAATGCCATAGCCGAGACGTTTCTCCCCGCGGTTTTCCGTTGAGCGAATGACACCACCTTGCGATGTTATAAGCGACGCACAGTCCTGAAATACACGTGCTACGTCTTTAGGTGGAGACTTGAGATTCGTCAGCAGCACTTGCTTGTACAGCGGCATGACGACGTGATACTTTGGCTTGTGTGGAGCAGTGCCATTGATTAATATTAGCCAATGAAAGTGGTGTCGGGTACAGAACACCATTTTGGTGTCATCTTTACTTACGATCTTAAAGAGGCATGGGGTGACGTTGCCAGCGCCTGTTTTGTTAGTCATTAAGACTTAGCTCAACATTACATACATAAAGTGAAGGTGATAGAGGGTTTGGTCGATTTGAGCGTCATGCTACGATAACTAATGACAATTTTTCAACGACTTACATTTATTTAAACACAAGATTTAATAAAGACTTCAGCTTGCGCTTCCTGTTGACGCACTCTTCTTTTGGCAGCTAGTGATCAATCTCCACTCAAAGCAACTTGCATGCTGCACAGGTTAAGTCCTTTAAATTCCCATAAATGTTAGTCTACTTTACGCTGAGGTCAAATCAATTCTTAACGAATGAAGCTGACGACACTGTTTTGTGATACTAAACCAGCTGTCCATAAGTACATTACAAGCTGCATCAATATGCTCGGACATTCCACTAAGAACTGATCTTTAAGTAGTTATCGAGGATAAAAAACCATGTAGCATTTCAGATATAATCTTAGCCAGAACATTATACATGTAAAAAAACTGCCACGGTCGAGCACATCACTTCCCATGATGCGGTCGTGGAAATTTGGTGACTTAACACCCAGAAGTTGCACAACATGTCAATGTGTAACGGGCCAATAATTACACGAGTCCGTGAAGTATATGATACTAAACGGGGGGAGGTCTAAAAAGGTACGTGGTACCTTAGACACCTCCCACTTGGGTGGGGCACATCAATGTGTCCCACCCTCGCGAATGTGATATCCATGTATGGATTCACATCCGAAGGAGAAGACGCCCAGTTGGGACTAGGCGTCAGATAGACGCTTCATACGGACGTCATCAGCGAGCTTAAATATAAATTTAAGCTCGCACGTAGGGATACGCTTCTAAAGAGACGCGTATTCGATCTTTACATAGCGTATCCGATCTTTACATATTAACCAATCAGTAGTAAGTGTAGTGGGCTACATTACACATATAGTATTAACATGAATAAATAATTACATATGTAGGCAGGTGCTGGGCCCGAATAGCGGGCACAGCGTGGTAATTTATTATTGGTTTATTATTGGGCCTAAAGTCCCCAATATGGACCAATGATAAATCAACCTGAAATTGTGTGGTTCCCGAAAGGCGGGAACACTGTCATATTTATTACGACTAAAATCTTCGTAATTAGTACGAATTAAAACCAAAATAAAAATCAGAGTTAAATTTACTTAATACCTAATACTAGGGCTTGAGTCTTCCTCGAGCGCGCGTGTAAGCTAGTGACGGTACGTTCTAGCCCCGTTACACCTGGTAGCACTTAGTAGTCCTTCCTATGCCCGAGTTTGGGATGAGCGAATCGTCGTACTTTGACGCTCCAGATTTATTTCTGGAGCACGCGACCTTCCCCCATCTTACTGGTGTTGAGTGGGATGCCCTTAATCGCCTCGCGGCGATATCGGGAGAGGCATTCGTCGCGTCGTTGATGAGATCAGCGACCCCTGACGCGCAACGTCTCGCCATACATGAGTTTATGGCACGCGAGCTCGCCGAATCCAACCGGCGAGGCTTAACTCCCTCGCGCCCTTCACGTAATGAGGCCGTAAGGATGGAAACCTCCTCCTACTCTGGAGAAGGTAAGGACCGGTTATCGCTGAATCAGTGGTTCCGAGAAGTTGATATCGCCATCGCCTCGAGACTTCTTGAGGCTCCACAGGCGAAGGTCAACTTTCTTCTTTCCCGCCTCACCGGGAAGGCCAAGGAGTAGGCCCTTGGTAAGCTCGTTGTGGACGAGCACGCATTCCCTTGGATACCATCTAGGACGATCTCCGTCTTGCCTTCGAGCCACCACAAGAGGAGAAACTGGTGCGATCAAGATTCCTGTCGATGCGACAGGGTAAAATGGCGATGCGCGACTACGTACAGATGGCTAGGCATCTGGCGTCGTGTATTATCACGCACCCCATGGACATGTACACGCAGGTGAATGTCTTTGTGGATGGTATGCGTGAGGGGCAGACCCGCTTATCACTGGAGCGCGCCGAGCCTGCCACATTGGAGGAGGCATTTGCCATCGCAATCCGTGAAGACTTTAGGGTCACAAAGGCATATGCCAAACCCTCGGTCGTTAGCGTTCCCCGGCCTTCTGGTCCAGAACCTATGGAGATCGACGTTATTGAGTCATCGGGTGACCGAAGACGTGTCATTCATCATAAGGGTGATGCTCGCACCGGGCGTCAAATGGTTTGCTTTCTTTGTCGAAAGCCAGAACATCGCGCGGCAGAGTGCCGTGCGCCAGCGCCAATATCGCTGCAAGTAGTGGATGCCCATCATGAGGGTGCTGTGCCGGCCGCACGTCCAAAAAACGGTCGGGACCAGTAGGTGCAGGGCGACCTACTGGCTGGAACGGAGGTCCGGGTCCTCCGGTGGCAGCCCAACCTTTGAGTCCTCCTGCGCTACGCGCACGGTAAAATGCCACCACTACGAGTGGTGATTCACGTCTGATTAATGTCAGCTTACATGTCGCCGGCGTCCGGCGACCTCTGCGAGCACTCCTGGACTCAGGAGCAACAAACAATTTCTTTCGTGAATCTTGTTTGTCGATGCTGCCTCCCAGCATTCACGTCCGTGAGGGACCTGGCCAAGTCGTCGTCAAGTTGGCTGACGGGAAACCACACCGCGTATCGCGGCGCGAAGTGTCGTTGCCGTATACGTTCGATGGCTTTCGCAGTAATGATGATTTCTTGGTGATCGCGATGAATTATGCATTCGATTGCATACTGGGCATGCCATGGTTGGCACGTTATAAGCCCTAGATCGACTGGTTAGCCAGATCTGTGAGACGTCGACGCAAGTTCGATGTCAGTGAGGTGTTTACCCATCTCTTGGTATCTCCAAGTGACTGGCCAAACGTCACAGTCGTGGATCGGGATTTCACGACGCTGGCGGTGCACATAGCGAGCGATGGCTCTCTCTGCACTGCTTGTGCTGTTCTTCTAGACACAAGTGACAGTGAATCCTCTCTACAGAGCGAAGAGGAAGACGAGGACGACGCAGTCGAACAGGGGTTCCCGCGCGTCATTAACGCGGTTGAACAGGGATTCCCGCACGTGAATGCATTGGTTGAACCGGGGTTCCCATCTACACCTATTGTGGTCGAGCAGGGGATCCCACAAGGGCATTGTGACGACGAGCAAGAGCTCGCCAACGAGTGTGACGTGGACGGACAGGAGTCCCCACAAGAGAGCATGATGGTCGAACCGGGGTTCCCATCATCACCCACTGTGGTCGAACCGAGGTTCTCACATGGGCATACTGTGGTTGAGCAGGGGCTCCCACACGGGTTTACGGCGGCCGAGCAGGAGCTCCCGCATCAAGTGTCGACGGTCGAGTTTGGGGTACTCCCGTCCAGTGTTTCCGGCATCTTGGATGACGACATCCAGTGCCTAGAGGGGGGTGATGGTTTATCACCTGACTGCGGTTCGCCAGCTTCGAGTAGTGACTCGAAGCACGATGGGGACAACAGCACCGAGAATTTAGCGTTGGAATGTGTCCACGCTATCGTGTACGTGGAAGGGAGTCCACAAAGGCGCCAATATATCGAGGTCGAGAGTCCTCCTCGTCATGCGTCTTCCATTACAAGCCTTCCAGGGCTTTCCTGGAAGCATTTCCTACGTGACCTTAAGGGAGGCACTGTGGAACAAGTGTGTCTAATCACCAACGAGGTGGTTACCGTGGCAAACGAGGAGCATATGGCGCGTCCTCGAAGCGCTGAGTCGAAGTCTGCGCGTGAAGAAAGGTTTGCATCACATTCATGGGAGGCCCTGTGAGAGTCTGGTAACCCCGTCTACGACATTGCTCGTGAGTATGCAGACGTGTTCCCGGACAAGATCCCGGCTGAACTTCCTGCGGACTGTGGTGTTCGGCACGAGATTGATCTCGTGCCAGGGTCGAAGTATTGTGTGACTCGGCAGTGGCCGTTGCCTCGAGATCAAGTCGAAGCTATTGACGCATTCTTTGAAGGCCGCCGCAAAGCGGGTCATGTGCGGGAGAGTATCTCACCACATTCGAGTCCAACCTTCTGCGTGAAGAAGGCTCGAGGTGGCGTATAGTGCATTCGTTCAATAAGTTGAATGATGCCACCATTCCTGCGCAAACGCCTATTCCCAGGAAGGACATGGTACTGAATTCCATGTCAGGAAGTGTCATCTTCAGTGCCATCGAATTGACCGATGGCTTTTACCAGATTTTGATGCGCCCGAGCGATATCCCACTCACCGCGGTGAGCACCCCGAGTGGCATGTTATGGGAGTGGCTGGTTATGCCACAAGGGTTGAAGAACGCTCCGGCCACTTTCAATCGCATGGTGTCTCAAGTGTTGAGACCTCTTCGGAACTTTGCTCCAAGTTATTTTGACGACATTTTCGTCCATAGTCGCGCCGAGGGCAACCTCAACGATGTCCAAGTTCACCTTCAACACCTGAAGCAAGTGTTTCAAGTTATGCGGGACAACAAGTTGTACGCGAATCTCAAGAAGTGTGTCTTTTGTGCACCGGAGATTCCGGTGTTAGGTTGCTATGTGAGTAAATCGGGAGTTCGAGCTGATCCAGAGAAGGTATCGTCCATCTGTTCTTGGCCCACGCCCAAGAACCCTACGGAGTTGCGCCAGTGGCTCGGCTTGGCTAATTATTTGCACAAGTATACAAAGGATTATGCTGGTTCTATCCAGCCTTTGTCGTCACTCTTGAAGAAAGACGCCACGTGGTTGTGGCGTCCCGAGCACCAAGCAGCCTTCGAAGCAGTAAAGAAGAGCCTAGCGTCAGCGCCAGTCCTGGTCCTACCAGACGATTCCAAGCCGTTCCACGTGGTTTGCGACGCCAGTGATTTTGCAATCGGTTGTGCCCTCATAATTTGATGATGAGGGCCGTGAA